GGTTATACCTGAAATATAGACAATTACATCAACGTGACAACCGAGGTTTAAATACACGGATAAAATTACACTTGTATCGAAGTTATAAGGTTATACCTGAAATATAGACAATTACATCAACGTGACAACCGAGGTTGTAAAACAGGGATAAAATTACATAACCTTATAACTTCGATACAAGTGTAATTTTATCCCTGTTTTACAACCTCGGTTGTCACGTTGATGTAATCGTCTATATCACAGTTATAACCTTATAACTTCAATACAAGTTTCGGTTGTCACGTTGATGTAATTGTCTATATCACAGTTATAACCTTATAACTTCAATACAAGTGTAATTTTATCCCTGTTTTACAACCTCGGTTCTCACGTTGATATAATCGTCTATATCACAGTTATAACCTTATAACTTCAATACAAGTGTAATTTTATCCCTGTTTTACAACCTCGGTTGTCACGTTGATGTAGTCGCTTATATCACAGTTATAACCTTATAACTTCAATACAAGTGTAATTTTATCCGTGTTTTACAACCTCGGTTGTCACGTTGATGTAATTGTCTATATTTCAGGTATAACCTTATAACTTCGATACAAGTGTAATTTTATCCGTGTTTTTCAACCTCGGTTGTCACGTTGATGTAATCGTCTATATCACAGTTATAACTTATAACTTCAATACAAGTGTAATTTTATCCGTGTTTTACAACCTCGGTTGTCACGTTGAAGTAGTCGTTTATATCACAGTTATAACCTTATAACTTCAATACAAGTGTAATTTTATCCCTGTTTTACAACCTCGGTTGTCACATTGATGTAGTCGCTTATATCACAGTTTTACAACCTCGGTTGTCACGTTGATGTAGTCGTCTATATCACAGTTATAACCTTATAACTTCAATACAAGTGTAATTTTATCCCTGTTTTACAACCTTCGGTTGTCACGTTGATGTAGTCGTCTATATCACAGTTATAACCTTATAACTTCAATACAAGTGTAATTTTATCCCTGTTCAACAATACAAGTGTAATTTTATCCCTGTTTTACAGGCCAGCTGGGATACAACAAACACAGTATTATTCAGAACACTATTTATATAAGACATTTGTTACCACAACAATTGTTATGGCGTGACCTTCTTTTACTAGCTAACGAAGCTTAATTATAATTAATTATCATAAGACGTTAGGATTAGGCCTACTATACTTTTAGACATCACAATCTTTATCTAGTTATATTAGAAACGGATGGACCAGTAAATGGGAAGGATGTTGGATTAATCCACAGCTGTAAGTTTCCACATGATGTCTAGTCGTTATCACAAATAATGATTTGATAGGAAAAAAAAAGTCAAATGTTTCATTTGAATTTGTAGCCGTTTTTCCACGGTTAAAAAAACAATTTCAAAGTTGAAATTAATTCAATAGAAAAAGCTTTATTTATTTATTTAATTTTATAAATAATAATAATAAAATACAAATTAGCAAACTTTCTATTTTGTGACTGATTTCAGCGAGCTTCGAACGAAAACATTAGTTTTTTTATGAATTACTGATTTTGTTCTTGACATAATACGGCAGTCGTTAACTATTTGGTGGAAAGTTGGAATAGTTTTGAACAAAATAATGATAATTTGAACCTTATAACTTTAAGAGCTCTGGATTGAGCAAAATGCGTCGTCGGCAATGGATATGGCGGATACAGTGTGGTTTTAATGTGATTATTATGCTCTTCTCATTTTTTAAATCACTAAAGGACTAGATAAAGAATTTAGTGTTTAAAAATATAATAGGCCTAATACTACTGTCTTACGACAATTATAATAATGCTTCGCCAGCTCGTAAAAAAGCGTCCACACAATAATAATTATTGCTATAATAGTTAGGTTTTTTTGTTTCTGGCTGTTGGTCTGCTTGTTCCTATAGCAACTATTGTATGCTTGTTTCTTTGTAGAGTTGTGGTCCACTCCATTTTATTTGGCTGTTGGTCTGCCTGTTTCTATAGCAACTATTATATGTTTGTTTGTACAGTTGTCGTCCACTCCATTTTATCTAGCGTTTGTTTGTTTCTATAGCAACTATTATATGTTTGTTTGTACAGTTGTGACCCACTCCATATTACCTAGCGTTTGTTTGTTTCTATAGCAACTATTATATG